CCAGAGGTAATAGCTGCACAGCAAAGCCTGGAGAACAACCATTTCTGATGGGAGAGTAAGAGAGTGCTCTCAGAAGAATGGGAAGTATGGTAAAGGGTTAAGGACAAATTAAGACTACTGGTCAGATTAACCTTTCCCTCCCCTCAGGAATGATGGGGGGTGGGGTCTGTTAGAAACAGGGAAAAAATAAAAACATGCAAAAAATTCATGGTCCCAATAGAATTGAGAGTAAAATTATAATGAATTTAAGCATTTGATGAAATGGTGCTTTTTTTCTAATGTTTTATTTATTTCTGAGAGAGAGAGAGAGCGCGAGCATGAGCAGGGGAGGGTCGGAGAGAGAGGGAGACACAGAATCTGAAACAGGCTCCAGGCTCTGAGCTAGCTGTCAGTACAGAGCCTGATGCCAGGGCTCAAACCCACGAACTGTGAGATCATGACCTGAGACGAAGTTGGACGCTTAACCGACTGATCCACCCAGGCGCCCCAAAATGGTGCTTTTTTAAGTCCCCTCAGATTGTCCTGGAAGTCACTGTTACAGGCCCATATAAAAGGAAACTTAAATGTACTTTCTAGCCTCCATTTAAATAGTATATTGTCATGAAAACACGGATGCTTGTTTATAACCCTTCTGCTTTTAAAATCAGGCTTTTGAGACAGCATGAAGGATTTGGTTGTGGTTATAGCAGAGAATGTTAATTTTCTTAAGATTAATAAAAATGTAAAATTAGAGCTAGCAGCAGGTTGGGGAAGCTTGAGAGAAAACAATGTAGCCTCCTTTTACAAAGTGAGCAGTTAGGATTCTATGCAAAACTACTAGAAAATAAAAATTTGGAGCACCTGGGTGGCTCAGTCAGTTAGGCCTCCAACTCTTTGATTTTGGCTCCAGTCGTGATCTCAGGGTTGGTGAGATGGAGCCCCTGGATTGGGCTCTGCACTGACAGCTCAGAGCCTGCTTGGGATTTTTTCTCTCCCTCTCCCTCTCTGTCCCTCCCCTGCTCAGGCACTCTCTTTAAAAATAAATAAATAGGGGCACCTGGGTGGCTTAGTCGGCTAAATGTCCGACTTTGGCTCAGGTCATGATCTTGTGGTTCGTGGGTTCGAGCCCCGTGTCGGGCTCTGTGCTGACAGCTAGCTCGGAGCCTGGAGGCTGTTTCGGATTCTGTGTCTCCCTCTCTCTCTGACCCTCCCTTGCTTACGTTGTCTCTCTCTCTCTCTCTCAGAAATAAATAAAACATAATTTTTTTTTTCAAAATAAATAAACATTTAAAAAATGAAAAGTTTATGTAGAAATAATATAATTATCAAACAATTGAGAGAAAGCTGATAAAAGGAGTATAAGTGAATCCTTAATCTAATTTCTAAATCAGCAGGCATTGTCTTGGGGCACCTGGGTGGCTCAGTCGGTTAGTGTCCAACTTCAGCTTAGGTCACAATCTCATGGTTTGTGGGTTTGAGCTCTGCATTGGGCTCCATGCTGACAGCTTGGAGCCTGGAGCCTACTTCAGATTCTATGTCTCCCTCTTTCTCTGCCCCTCTCCCACTCGCTGTCTCTCTCTGTCTCAAAAATAAATAAACATTAAAAAAAATTTTAAATCAACAAGCATTGTCTTAAAGTTAATAAACAAGAAATTATCAAAGTAAGTGCAGAAAGAACTAACTTTTTTAAAAAAGCCTAGGTATGAGGGCGAAAGGAGACTTGTTTTTCATCATAAGGTATTCTGTCACTATTTGATTTGTCACTTGTGTACACATATTACTTTAATTTTAAAAATGAGAAGTTTAAGGAACAGGAAATCACCCAGGTTGATGAAAGATTACATATAAGGCAATGTTGGGAGATAATACCAGAAAACTGAGTTGTGCCCGTATTACAGAGGGCCTCAGATTCCAAGGTGGAAGCAGTGCATTTAATTTGGGAAAATTCAGAGGAGTTTTTGAGCCATCTGTTCATATGACTGGAGCTGTCTTCTTTCAGAAAACGAATTTGTCAGGAGGATAAATTGGACTGGCAGTGGCACAAAGGGGCATTATGAGTAACCAAGCTAGTTTCAGTTTTCCCCAGGAAAGGTAATGAAGGATTGTACCTGAATGATGCTGTTGGAAATAGAAAAAAGAAAGAAGGTTTTTCCGTTACCATGTTTGATACATGGTAGATATTTTAGTATATATTTGTTGAATGAAAGGATCAAAGGGAGATTCCATTTTCGGTAACTTGTTTGACAAAAGAGGAAAGGAAGGGTAGTCATCAAAGATGAAATCTTTCTTGAATAGTTACCGCTGTTTATTTTGAAATCCATGACCTGATCGTAGCTCTCACTATGAAAGTAAGGCTTGATTCTATATGCCTGCTACAAAATGCAAAACATTTATAATTAAGTAATCCTTCCCTGCCTGTGTTGCATCTTTGTGACACACAATTATAATATTTGTTATAAAATAAAAGATGAAACAGTATTGCAGTCTAAAATTATATCCCACTTACCCAAGAAAGAAAACTGGTAAGACATATAGAACTTTATAGAGTATAGTTCTTCACGGCCTCATGATTTAAGGTCATAAATGGCTGTTGGATTCCAGTTGGGCTCTTGAACAGATGGTTTTTTCCATAGGAGGTAACTGACATATTGCTGGAATACAACCCATGAACTTGGCCTCTTAAGTCTGTAATCCACTAATCTTTAAAGTGTGATACGACAGCACTTTACAGAAGTTACAGAAAAGCAGAATTTTATAGTTTCATTCCATGCATAAGGTATATAATTTAGCAATACAAAAGTATACATAATTTATAAGCCAGTGAGTGTACAAATATTGGGCATATGCTAATTTAATTTATTTTTCTGATAAGGCTATGCTACCAAAGGTTCTGAGACATTTCTCTAATCACTTTAGCTAACTGACCCAAGAGATACAGAGCAGTTACAAAGATCAAGGGAATAAGTCTGTATGTTCCTCTCATTGATCTTGGATGGGGAACCACCAGAAGCCTATGATAGTCTCAGTGTGAAATAATGCTAAGAGCCTTGTCTTAGAAATCATTAGAAGTCAGAACCTGGAATTGAGCCATAGTCTACCAGTTATTGGCTAGTGATCTTTATTTGATCTCTTTAAACTTCAGACTCTTCAAACCATTTGGCCTTTAAAAGGTCTGTCAAATTTCTAGTAGTAAATGGGGGAGTCTGTAGAGAATTGTGAGATGTTTTTGCTTGCTCTGAGGTATACTCCACTCTGTTATTATCAACTCTCTCTAACACTGATATGTAGTTAGAGATTTGTCATGAAGCATAACTATAAGATAAAATGTGAAAAAGTACCTAACCCAGACTTGGTACATGGTAGGTGCTTAATAAATATTTGCTGGATTTTAATCCAAATCTCAACTTAATTCCACGTATGCATTGTTCTTTGAAAGTTTTCTTAAAAGAATTTAGCAATTTGCTTCTTGCCTTTGCAAATATAGCTACAAATAGCTATAATTCTCAAGCCTTTATACACCAGTTTCATTTGCAGAGAAGGGGTGCCCAGGAATGGGGTAGATCCTCAGTCAGGTTATGCTTGATCCTAACCTAACACCTACTTCATGGGATGGTTGTGAGAAGTACAAGAGGTAGTCCATGTGAAATTACAAAATAAAGGACTAAACCATATTAGGAGATTGTTTTATTGTTGCCAAAGTCCTGAGAGAGTCCAAAATGATTGAGCTACCTAACTAGTAGCACAACCTACAAACTTCTGTCTTACAGAGTAAAATGTTGTACCTGGATGTCTTTTTTGACCTGTTATAGGAGCTTTTCTTCCTTTTCCTATTCATTTTCAAAATCTGCCACATTAGGGTACCTGATATTCTTTTTGAATATCTTTATAATTTCATATATAGCCAACATTCTGTCTCAGAAAATGTTAATTGAGCTCAAACATTTATATGGAACACAAAAATAATAAAAATTATGAGTTATTTGTGTGCAGCACATTTAGATTGTAGTAATAATACTTAGGCACTCGGAAAAAATAATATAGGCAAAAAAAGTAAAAACAGTCTTTGACAGTCTTATATTTCTAGCTTTGTTCAGTTTTGTTTTATTGTAGTTTCTGGCTGTAATATATAGTATGTCTTGATTAAATAAGGTGTACTTAATCTGCTTATCCCAGAGTGAGTAAGTAACAAATTTTGTGTACACTTAGATAGATTTTCAACCTTTCTCTCCTTTCTGATACCTTCACTCACATAAACTGAAACATCCACTGTTTTTAAAAATCTTCTTCTTAACCCCAAGACCTTCCACTGTTCCATTATGCTAAATAGTGCTTTTTTTCCCCTGTGTCTAATTTTCCATCCAAATGTTAACTCTTTTTGGATTTTGTGTTTTAGAGTTATTCCTTTCTCCAATCTCAGATTTCAAGTAGTCCTAGATACAAAAAGTATCTTACATATTTCCAACAGAATAAACTTCAGCATACTGATTCAGATGGCCTTGCTGAGGGTAGAAGTCTCCACGTTTGCCTTGGAATATTTTTCAACCCCTTTCCCAAAAACTGTGTGTGTGTGTGTGTGTGTGTGTGTGTGTGTGTGTGTAACATTGGCTCTACCAAATACAAGCACCCGTCATAGCACAGCAGATTACTCCAATCTCTTTTCAGACTTCTTTACCCGCTCTGCACTCACCCCATGAAACTTTTTGTTCTAATTACCTCCAGTAGGAAGAATGAAGACTTGGAAATACTCAGTGCTAATGTTAAGTAGAGGTTAAATTGGTCTATGTAGAGGGCTGCTATTATTCTTTCTGACATTTAACTTTAAAGTATGTTGTAGGTAGAGCTTGTGACTTTTGATCTCAGGATCATGAGTTCACAGCCCCTTGTTGAGCATAGAGCTTGCTTAAAAAAATAAATAATAATTTGAGGATTTCTAATATGATATGTTAAATTTATATTTCTTGATTTATAGCTGGAGAAAGTATCTCTAACTCTCTTTTCTCCCTTTATATTTGCATCAACAGGAAGAAGGCAGTATCAAAGAAATTGCAATCACACATCATGTAAAGGAAGGACATGAAAAGGCAGATCCTTCCCAATTTGAACTTTTAAAAGTATTAGGGCAGGGATCATTTGGAAAGGTAAGTCACGAGTGTGTGTTTTTAAAAAGTTTTTTGGGGGGGAATTCATGTGTATTTCATACAGATGGGGAATGGAACTCTTTTATGAAATACTACTGATCTCCCTACAAGCAGTGTTTCTGTGTTCTTACATTTCTCACTATTACTAAGTGTTGGAAAGTAAAGTCATTCAAAAGTACCCTGGAAATGTTTGTAAATTGGCAGTATTCACTTCATGTTCATTTTATCTTCAAGAACATGTGACCTCTTTAAGGGGCGCCTGGGTGGCTCAGTCTGAGCTTCGGCTCAGATCATGATCTCATGGCTCGTGAGTTCGAGCCCCACATTGGGCTCTGTGGTGATAGCTGAGAGCCTGGAGCCTGCTTCAGATTCTGTCTCCATCACTCTCTCTGCCCCTCCTCTGCTCGTCCACTGTCACTGTCTGTCTGTCTGTCTCTCTCAAATATAAATAAACAAATATTTTTTAAAAAACAATTGCACTTTACAAATGATTAAAAATCAAAAAATATTCCCTTCATACACTTTGCAAATGCACTTTGCAAATTATTAAAAATCAAAAAATACTCCTTTCATACACTTTTTGATACTCTTTTTGAGTCCTCGTGTGGAATTGGAAGGTGATCTTGCAGATACATTACCACAATATGTCTCAGTCTTCCCTCCACAGCATCCCTAATACCAGCAGGAAGTAGATGACTACTCCCAAGGAATTAGGGAGTTAGGAAAGAATTATGATTAGGAAGTTTTGGGGACTTACAGCTTCTCTTTAAAATGAATGTTGAGGTACCTGGGTGGCTCAGTCAGTTAAGTGGCCCACTTCGGCTCAGGTCATGGTCTCATGGTTCATGAGTTCAAGTTTCGTGTCAGGCTCTTGGCTGACAACTCAGAGCCTGAAGCCTGCTTTGGATTCTGTGTCTCCCTCTCTCTGCCTCTCCCCCACTCGTGTGCATGTACTCTCACGCTTGCTCACTCTCTCTGTCTCTCTCTCAAAAGTAAATAAACGTTTAAAACAATTTTTAAATACAAAAATAAAATAAATTTTAAATGAATGCAAAGGTTGCATTGTATTCAGTGATATCCAGGTTTGTCTTTAATATCAAAAAATGTTTGGGGCACCTGGGTGGCTTAGTCGGTTAAGCGTCCGACTTTCGCTTGGGTCATGATCTCGCGGTTCGTGGGTTCGAGCCCCGCGTCGGGCTCTGTGCTGACTGCCAGCTCAGAGCCTGGAGCTTGTTTCGGTCTCTGACTCCCCCTCTCTCTGGCCCTCCCCTGCTCCCGCTGTCTCTCTCTCTCTCCTAGAAATAAATAAAACATTAAAAAAAATTAAAAAAAAAAAAGTTTACCAAAGCCACCAACCAGAATTGTTCCAGAAGATGCAATATCTTCATCATTTTTCTGCTAATCCATTTCTTAGTGATAGGAGGGTTCTGATATTGCATTAAACTTTCACAGTGCAGTGCTTCCTTACCACCTCCCTGCGAGGAGACATTTGAAGATATCCTGCTTTGCAAACTTCAAAACAACACTTTAGCTCCCTTGTGTATTTTGGAGGGACTCTTTAGCAACTCTTGGTTAATACAGGTAATTTATTACAGCAGTAGTAACCTCTTTCAACCCCCAAGTGATGCTTTTAATTCACATATAGGTTAAGTAAGCAGCAGAATGTGATGGTTGCAAGTTTGGGCTCTAGGTCAGTCAGACTTGGATCTGATTTTTTTTTTTCCTTTTCCTTACTTGGTGCATGTACTTGAGCAAGCTATTTAACCTCTTCGAGCCTCATTTTCTTCTTCCACTCAGTCATTAAGTGTTGGAATTCCTCAAGGTTCCATTCTAGGCTGCCTTCTCCTCACTCTGTACACCCTCCTAATTATTTTCTCTGTGCCCACTATCTTAATTATAACCTACATACAGCTGTCTTCACAGGTTTCTATCTCCACTCTAGATCATGCCTCCAAGCTCTGAACTCTGTGTACAGCTGCATATTTTTTTCTCTTAGCGTGTCTCCAAGGCAGTTTAAGGTCAGCATGTCTAAGACCAAACTCACGATTTTCTCCAGCTCCCCCCCTCCCCCGCCCAAACCTGCCTTGTTTCTTTTTTCTCTGCAACTATGAATGGTATCCAGTTAAGCAGGCCAGAAACTTGGAAGGCATTTTTGACATATCCTTCTACTGCCTACCCTTTCCTCTTGTCACCCCCTACCAGTCTAATCTGTCAGTAAGTCCTATTGATTTAGTAATGATTTCTCACATCTTGCCTGTCTTGTCCTTGTCTACTCTGCCACTGCCCAAGTCTTTGGAACCATTTCTCCCTGGCCTATGGAAGGAGGCTCCTAACTGGGGCTTCCCAAATGTATTCTTTCCTCAAGCGACTATTTACATTACAGACAACAAGAGCTTATCTTATACTTTAGTAGCCTCCCTTTGTCTTTAGGATAAAGACATTAAGATATCCGAGGAGCCCCTTGTTGTGACACCTAGCTACCTCAGCAACATCACTTTATGTATTGTTCACTACCTGTGTTCTAGCCACACTGGCCACCTTTCCCAGTCCTTACGCACCAGGCTCCGCCCCACTAGAAAGCCTTTGCACATGTACCTCCCTCTGCGTGAAGCACTCTGCCCCACCCCCACCCCCTCCTTATCTTGTTAACTCCTCTCGTGCTTATGATCTCAAAGAAGTCTTCTCTGCCATTCTGACTAGGTCTTCCTCGGTTTTACCCTGTCAGAACATTTTATACCCCATCTTCACAGCACTCACCACAATTGCAGCTTTTTATTTGTGTAATTATTGACTGTCTCCTATATGTTCATTCCATGAGTGCAGGGGACATGCTTTGTAACCTGTGTCAGCATTGAGCTGGTAGCACAGTACCTAGCATATAATTTTGGAAAGAAGTAATGAGTAAATAATAGTCCTGACCTCATAGGTTAGTCGTGAGGATTAAATGATATAAGGCCACGCACATAATATCTGCTGTGGAATTGTATTATCCCACAATGCATTACGGATAAACCCAAATAGATGGATTTCTTTCTATACATTAGATTTTCAGGGAACACAGTATTTAAGTTGCCAGAAGTTAGCATGCGTCTCCCTTTATTTCTTTAAAAGTCATTTAAATACCTTACTATAAATAGCAAACATTAAAAATACAGCGTCTCCTTTCTTACTCATCCTAAAAAGTCAGCGTAAGCAAGGAAACAGGAATGACCTGTCAGAGCTTATAATAGCTTCATGGGGGAGTTCGAAAGGTCGCAAATGCTCTGGTGAGGGAAGATCCGATGGCATCTGGGACTGCTGCTGTTCCTGCTACATTGACTGGTGACCTGCCAGAGGGAACATTAACAGTGCCCTGAGCAAGAGCACAGAACTGAGTGGCTGGCCTGGTTCTTGTTCCAATACCTCCACTGTGACACTAGTCAAATTATTTAACCTCTCTAAGCCCTAGCTTAGTCAGTTATAAATAGAGATTGCTTAGTCCTCCTGCCTCCCAAAATTATCCTGATGATGTATTATAAATGCTTGTGAAGGTCCTTTGCAAACTAAGATGTGCTGAAAGTATTAAGGTGCTTTCTTTCTTTTAATATTTATTTTATTTTTGAGAGAAAGAGAGAGTAGGGGAGGGGCAGAGAGAGAGGGACATAGCGAAGCGAGCTCTGCGCTGACAGCAGAGAATACGATGTGGGGCTTAAACTCACGAACCAGATCATGAGCTGAGCTGAAGTCGGGCACTTATCCAACTGAGCCATCCAGGCAGCTGATGTGTCAAAGTACTTTCAAAGAAGGGTGAAGAAAGTTTGCAATCCACAGGGAGAATTTTTCATGTACAATGGTACAGAGAAGTTTGATTAGGGAATCTTACGAATAAATATTAGATAAATCCTAATGATCTCCACCTAATTAGAATTTATGTCTATTCAAAAATATTAATAATCTTTGCTTACCTTTAGCATTTGAATGTCATTCCATCTTAGGAATCTGATTAAGAATGCTTTTTTTCTCCCCAGTGTGCCTCCCTGCTAACTGGCTAATAGAAACTAAAGAATGGGGGCATCATGGAGGGGAACAGGATGGGGGAGTGATTTGGGGAGAGGATCACCCAACGTATCAGGGTTTCTGTGCAAGTTATGATGCTCTTTACTATGCTCGAGGTCATTGCCAATCACCTTTAGCACAATTTCTCAAAGTGAGTAACTCTGCATTGCCCTAGAATCAGTTGAATGTAATAATTTTTTTTAAATTTTGTGCTAATAGCCTAGCATGCTAGTGCATATAATTGAGAGCTGAACTTAAAGTTAATTTTTTTTTAAATTTCTGAGAGAGAGAGAGAGAGAGAGCGTGAGCAGGGGAGGGTCAGAGAGAGAGGGAGACACAGAATCTGAAACAGGCTCCAGGCTCCAAGCTAGCTGTCAGCACAGAGCCCGATGCGGGGCTTGAACTCATGAACTGTGAGATCATGAACCGCGAGATCATGACCCGAGCTGAAGTCAGATGCTTAACCGACTGAGCCACCCAGGTGCCCCAGTTAATTCTTGATTATAATTGCTTCTCTTCCCATCTGTGGCACCTCAGTAACACTGCCAGGAAAGAACAGGTAGAATGCAGAGTTGAAATTCAGGTCCATTTAACAAGTATGTATAAAGATTTCATGAAAAAGATCATCAGTCACTATGTTGTACACCTGAAATTAATATTACGCTGTATGTTAACTAACTGGAATTTATTATTTTTTAATGTTTAATTTTTTTTTGAGAGAGAGAGAGAGTGCTCTCATGAATGGGGGAGGGGCAGAGAGGAGAGAGGGAGACAGGGAATCTGAAGCAGGCTCTGCACTGTCAGTGCACAACCCGACATGGGGCTTGAACCCACCAACCATGAAGTCATGACCTGAGCCAATGTCAGGTGCTCAAGCAACTGAGCCACCCAGGTGACTATTTTATTTAAAAGGAATTTAAATAAAAACTTTTTAAAAAAGATCACAAACCTAATGATAAAAATGAATAGAAGAGATTTATAGACTTTCTTGTATTAGCCATCGTATAGCGTGACTGTGAATTACTTACAGCAGGCTCTATACATTTTGCATAATTTTCACACTATATTTTGAAAGCAGCTAAAAATATTTGGAAAGTCAAGAATCTCAGTAACATACCTAGGACTGTGTTCTTCATATTTAGGTATACGTGATAATTTGATTTTTAAAAGGTGGAAAGGTGTGGTTCTGACTTAAGTCACACTAAATATTTGTGAATAGGCTTCTTCATTGTAACTTTTAAATCGTTCTGCCCAGCAATGAGAAATTTATGTGCAGGTTTCATACAGACAAAAGACCAATCATCAATGTATAATTGTATCAACAGAAAATCTTGGTCAAGGGGAACTCCTGTGTAACAATTTTTATGGAATCAGAAGAATTTTTGTTTTGTTAAAAGCAGAGCAGTGACCACCTGTGTTATACTTTAAACATGTTAGACTTTTACCTAATTATGACATAGCTTAAGGACTTGTACTGGTGTCTCATATGCAACGTGCTTTTTGAGAATTGGCAAACAACAAAAAGGAAAGAAAACAGTGTATTCACTTATGTTGACACCTCAAGTTATAGCCAGTGGTTACAACTCATTGTATTTATAATTGATACATAAGGAACATCGGTATATCAGAATCTTTCTAATAATAAACTGTATTATAGAAAAGGTCTCATTGTTAACAGTGGTGATATTTGGTAAAACGTACTTTCTCTCATTTAAATACAGGTTTTCTTAGTCAAAAAAATCTCAGGCTCTGATGCTAGACAGCTTTATGCCATGAAAGTATTGAAGAAGGCCACCTTGAAAGGTAAGTACTGTGACTATTTATAACATTTGTGTCGTCTAAACAAACTGAAAGGTCTCAATAGATTTCCAGTGACTCCTAGGCCAGTTACTTACATTCTGAATCTGTTTCTGTTACTGTCTTTCATTTTAGACTTCTTTTAGTGAAATTTTCCTACTGGGCTAGGTATCATATGACTAGTGAGAATGGGAGTTGCCATGTTATAAAAGAGGTATTATAAATTCACCTTGGGCTTATGCAAATACAAGTTGAGAAGATTCAAACTGGGTTTGATTCATCTTCAGATTAATGTAATTATTTTAATGTTTTGAAAAGTAACTGATTTACTGGATGCAAAATAGCTTTTATTTTAACGACTTCATCATCTTGACTTCTGGTTTCCAAGTAAGTTTTTATTCTAAGCCTCAGATTTTGAACAATCTAATGTAAGGTTTGACTCTTACAGGCAAATAGTCAGTTAGATGAAATTATACTTAGTTTTTAAAATACATAAATCTTTTATTTAGTAGTATTGGTTATTTTACCACATAACCTCTAGTTTTTTTTGTATTGATTCCTAACATCATTTTTTCTTCTTCAATTTACATGTAATTTTAAAGTTTTTTAAATACTCCGAAAGAAATATTTGTGATGATCATTTATCATTTCTTGTGTTATTCTTCCCAGTTAGTCACCCACTCTGGATATCATTATTCTAAGAAATTCCACCTTTGTCTATAAACACCATCCTTTGCTTCCTTTCTCTTGCTGTCTTCCTGAATGTATTTCTTTCCTATCCAGTCTCTACCTCTGGAACACTACTTGACTAGATTTTTGCTAGGAGTAGAGAATTAAATTATATCCTCAGTGCCCTACTTTATATTAGGACTTCTATAACTTTATGCTTATGAATCCCATGTTATAAAACTGCATAGATGGGGGCGCCTGGGTGGCTTAGTTGGTTAAGCGTCCGACTTTCGCTTAGGTCATGATCTCGCGGTTCGTGGGTTCGAGCCCCGCGTCGGGCTCTGTACTGACTGCCAGCTCAGAGCCTGGAGCCTATTTCAGAGTCTGTGACTCCCTCTCTCTCTGACCCTCCCCTGCTCACGCTGTCTCTCTCCTTCTCTCAGAAATAAATAAAACATTTATAAATAAATAAATAAATAAATAAATAAATCATACATGCATACATACATACATACATACTGTTCCTAACTGAGCCAGATAGGAGTCACATTTCCTCCACACTGTCTCTGTCTCTCTCTCTCTCTCTCTCTCTCAGAAATAAATAAAACATTTATAAATAAATAAATAAATAAACAAACAAACATACATACATACATACTGTTCCTAACTGAGCCAGATAGTATAGTGGAGTCACATTTCCTTCACATCTTTGCTGTATTAGATCTCATTTTCTAAATTCTGTTTCTATCTTTTTCTCACTTTACTTTCCATTCTGGGTGCGTCATAACTTCTAATAGCTACCTCAGAAAGGGTGAATGGATGCTAAATTTTCTGTGACCTTGAATGTCATAAAATGCCTTTATTATACCCCTCACTTAATTTATAATTTGGGTATAAAATTCTAGGTGAGAAATAATTTTCCCTCAGATATTTGAAGGCATTGTTTCTATTGTCTTCCAGTTTCCTGTATTGCAGTTATGAAGTTTATTGCATTTCTGACTTCCAGTCCTTTGTGCATAAGCAGCTTTTCCTCTTTGGAAGTCTTTAGAATCACTCTATTCTTTATCCCTACTGTTCTGGAACTTGTACAGTGGTATTTCTTTAGTGTGGACTTTTAAAATTCATCATACCAGGTATAGGGTGGACTGTTTTATTCTAGAAACTCGTTTCTTCAGTTTTGGCAAAGTATTTTGTCATTTCTTCCCCATTTTGTAACTGCTTCTCTTTGAATATGTTGGACCTCCTGGATCATCTCTTAATTTTTTTCCCTCCTGTTTTCCAGTTTTGTCCTTTTTCTCTATTTTCTAGGAAATATTATCAACTCTCTTTCAACCTTTCTATTGACCTTTTTGTTTCTACCATCATTTTTGTTTGTTTTTATTTTGTGAGAGAGAGAGCAAGAGCGAGCAGGAATGGGGGAGGGGCAGAGAAAGAGGGAGAGAGAGAATCCCAAACAGGTTACACACTGTTGGTGCAGAGCCTGACATGGGGCTCGAATCCACGAACCATGAGGTCGTGACCTGAGCTGAAATCAAGAGTTGGATGCTTAACCAACTGAACCATCCAGGTGCCCCTTTACCGTCATTTTTAATTTTCTAGATTTTCCTTGTTCTCTATTCCATTTTTTAAAACTTTTTCTTGCAGAAAGTGTCAGGGCCCCTGGGTGGTTCAGTTAAGCATCCGACTTCAGCTCAGGTCATGATCTCATGGTTGGTGAGTTCGAGCCTGGAGTCTGCTTCTGATTCTGTGTCTCCCTCTCTCTCTGCCCCTCCCCTGCTTACTTTCTCTCTCTCTCTCTCTCTCTCTCTCTCAAAAATAAACATTAAAATTTTTTTAAAAAAGAAAGTGTCAGACATTTACAGAAAGAATGTGGCACCTGGGTGGCTCAGTTGGTTAAGTACCCGACTTCAACTGAGGTCATGATCAAACAGTTTGTCAGCTTGAGCTTCCCTCCCCTGCTCTCTGCCCCTCCCCTGCTCATTCTCTCACTCTTGTTCTCTCTCACACACACATTCTTTCTCTCTTTCTCTCATTCAAAACTAAGTAAATACTAAAAAATATTTTTAACGAAAGAAACCAAAGAATATAGAGAACACCCATATACCCTGCTTGCTATTTCAGCATTTCCCACTTTTTTTTTTTTTTTTTTTTTTTTTTTTTTTTTTTTTTTTTTTTTTTTTTTTTTTTTTTTTTTTTTTTTTTTTTTTTTTTTTTTTTTTTTNCTTTTTTTTTTTTTTTTTTTTTTTTTTTTTTTTTTTTGGCATCTGTGTTCTTTCCCTTCCCCTCCTTTGATACTTTGGAGCAAATCTCAGACATTGTACAATTTTTTCCATAAATGTATTAGTATGTATCTCTAAAAGATAAAAACTCTTAAAAGAAATAACTCTAACATTATACCTAAAAAATTAATATACAGATATCCAACCAGTATTTAAATTTCCAATTGTGCCTATTGTTATAATTCTTTTTTCTTTTTCCAATTTGTTTGAATCAGAATCTGTATAAGATCTATATTTTGTAGTTGGTTGATATCTCTTTAAGTCATTTAATCTATGAGCTCTTCTCCATTTTTTTTCTTTGTAGTTTATTTATTGAAGATACTGGTGCCTTCCCCCTATCCCTTTTAAAGCTTCTTTTTCGTGGGTGCCATATAGTTTTTGCTCTCTTGGTGGTGGATATAAATGACAAGAGTGATTTTTAAGTTTTCATGTGTTCTTTACATTGTCTTTGTTTCCCTGTATTTCTTTTTTTTCCCCCTATTTATTTTGATAGCTGTTTTTCATCTTTAGAGCCTTTCCTCAAATGCCTATGGGTCTTTTGCTGACTTTTTCTCATTTAAGAGTGACCAAATAACCGAGTGGAAAGGGTTCTATAGCAAGAATTTGCTTATTTCTCATTGGCTTCATTCCCTTAGGCTTAGCTTTTGGCTTTCTCTTATCTACTGTATAAGATACCACTTACTCATCATCTTCTGCTCCTGCTTTCTCTCCTGTTCTTTGTCCTTATGAGTTTATGCATAATTGTTCCATTATTGTAATTTCATTGGGGGTTTGGAAGAAAGTAGAAAGTAAAACATCTATATTTAAGCAGAAGTCTCTTTGTTTCCATTTCAGAGTTCCTATTAATACAATAAATGGTGTCAAATAGAAGTCAGTAGTGTGAGGTTGAGTTTGTGGGGACTTTTCTCCTAACACAGTAGTCAGTGGGCCTAAAAGTTTTGTAAACCATTACTTAAAAGAGTTTCTTAATACATAATCCTAGAAACATAAACACCATTTCTTCTTGATCACTCTCATGTTCAATTCAAGGAGAATTTAAAATCTAGTAACCACTATATGAGAAAAATTATTTCAGAGGAATGTAGTTGCTTTGTCAGCATGAGTAATTATTAACAAATTGTATTTTAGGGTTTAGAGTTAACGAATATAAAACATGTCTTCTAAAGCAGTAGATCCTCATCAGAATTCCTGATTGTAGGATGATTTATATTTGTCAGTAGGTCTTTATAAGTAAAAGAAACCAGATTAGAATTATTAAACAGTCCTATCTCAAATAAAATGAAGGAATCCTTTAGTGATTATATCTCACAGCTCATTTTCAACTAAACAAGGTCTCATCAGTGTCACATGTAAGTACACCACCTCACAAGATAATCATAATAGAAAAAAAATCATCTTGTTCTAGCATTTCATTATATATTTTTTTAAGTTTATTTATTTATTTTGAGAGAGAGAGAACGGGCAGGGCAGAAAGAGAGGGAGAGAGAGAGTCTCAAGCAGGCTCCACACTGACAGTGCAGAGGCTGATGCAGGGCTCAAACTCAGGAACTGTGAGATCATGACCTGAGCCAAAACCAAGAGTCAAATGCTTACCCGACTGAGCTGCCCAGGTATTCCTCTAGCTTCTCATTTTATAGAGAAGGAAGCAGGAAGTCCCCAGGCAGTGTAAGGATCTGACCAAGGTAGTTCATTTAGTTGTTAGCAGGGCCGCTAAAAACTACAGCTCTTGGCTCTCAAATATTGTTCTTTTCTTTGTGATAGAATAATAGAAGATATATAGTAAACATGTTAATGGGTATTTTTTGCGGCTTACTGATCAGTGAGGTGAGTTTTTGATGAAAAGCTTTGTAATCTTTGTATAATTATTGAAAGAGGTAGAAATTTGGAATCTATCTTTTAAGGTAATAAGAAGTGAATCCAAGTTCATATTGGTAACAGTAGAAAAAGCGCAGATGTAGGCTAGACTGGAGCAGAATTATCAGCATTCCTAGGTGATGTACCTCATTCACATAAATAATAGAAGACACCAGAGTTGTTGTGATGGGACAGGATAATGAAATCAGATATTAATACTGAATTCGATACACTAGCTGGACAAGTCATTTAGAAGACAAAGGTTTATAGGTATCAAGACCAATTGATTTCTTTTTTTTTTTTAATGTTTTTTTTTTTTTAATTTATTTCTAGGGGAGAGGGAGAGAGAGAGACAGCGTGAGCAGGGGAGGGTCAGAGAGAGAGGGAGTCACAGACTCCAAAACAGGCTCCAGGCTCTGAGCTGGCAGTCAGCACAGAGCCCGACGTGGGGCTCGAACCCACGAACCGCGAGATCATGACCTAAGCGAAAGTCGACGCTTAACCGACTAAGCCACCCAGGCGCCCCAAGACCAATTGATTTCTATACGTGGTTTGCCCATTTCCAGTCACTGGCACCAAAATCTCCCAGTTGGAAGTGGAAAACTGGTAGAATAGAAAACATAGGATTTTGTTTAGCTTCTTTGTTTATTTTGTCCAGAGGTCTTATTTCTATGTTTTAAATATCTGCAGTCACTTTAAATTGAAAAATACATCAATTCATCTTTCTCTCTGTCCCTTCCCTCCCCCCACAAAAGATTCTTTCCCCCATTCTTTCTGCTTAATCTCTGACACAACCATTCAGTCGTTCTGTCCTGAGAATACAAGTCATTTATGATTTATACTTATTATGCAACAGAAAAAAATTAAAATTTTAATGAATGATCATTTTCACCTCTCAAATCCATTGAGCTACCAATACAGAATACTTATCAGAATATATTCTTTTTTTTCTTTTTCTTCTCATTTGTCATTCCCACCAGATTATGAGCTTCTTGAAGATGGTTTTATTTGTATTTGTATCTCACAGTGCCTGGCACACAGAACTTGCTCAAGAAATGTTTGGTTGGTAAAAGAGAGCTTTGCCTGTAGGCTCAAACAAAAATTTATCTTGCCATTCCAAATTATCAAGAATCTGGGTCCTCCCCATTTTACCTCCCCAATTTCCACACTGATTTGGTTCCTTTCTATTCTTCATGTTTGTCTCCATGTTCTCACTTGCAATGCTACTCCATACCTGGACTTTTCTTCTTTAGGCCTGATTCTTCCCACCCATCTAAATTTCACTCTAAAAGTTCCTAACTCTACCTGTTTCCTCTAGTTTTCCCATGCAAGTAAAACTCATCTTTCCCTTCTCTGAATTTCTGTACTACTTATTCCTGTTAATAAGCCATTTTACCCCTTTAGCATATTCATGGTGTGATAGCTACCCTTTAATTGAATGTCTCCTCTGTACCAGGCTCTGGGATATACAAACCTTATCTCAAATAGTCACACAACCCCCAAAGGTACAGTGGTGTTACCCCCATTTTATGCATGAGAGGTAACTGAGACTCAGAGAGTTTAAGTAGGTAACTTGCTCAATATTACACAGATCTAAATCCAGATTTTTTTTTTTAACTCGAGAAAGCCTTTGCTCTTTCAGCTGCACCTCATTATTTCTTCTCCCTCTCCTTCTCTTCCTTTCCTCAAAATAGACCTTTTTGGGTATATCCATCCTTCACCATGTCTGCCACATTTTATAGATGCTTAATGAATGCTTGTTGAGTTGATAGGGTTGGTAGGGGTAGTGAAACCTATTCCATTTTTGTGTGTATGTTTTAATATTTCATTGAGATGCCTTGTTTTTATACTTGATCTTAGCCAAAAGGCTGAGAAGCAATGGGATGCCTTCTTAGAAAGTTACTCCTTTTTGTCCATTGTTCATAACTTTCATTAAAATACTTGTAAATTTGTTCTTAAAGCCAACATCTGATATGTTATCTGTATTTTTTTAACTTAAAGCAAAGATTTTTAAATATGAACAACTTCTTCTGGTTGTATAATTTAGTAAAAAATATATTAATTTTGAAAATTCAAGAGTAATAGTTTTATTTATACGTATAAATAGCTTTATTGGTATGTATAAATATGCAGATTCACATTTTAGCAAAATTTTATTTAAAATGGGCCCCAAAGAGATTTTGTTTTAAGGATTGTCTCTGAAAGCTATTGTAGTATAGCCATATGTGCAATATTTTGTAGTTCGAGACCGTGTTCGGACAAAAATGGAGCGTGATATCTTGGTAGAAGTTAATCATCCTTTTATTGTCAAGTTGCATTATGGTAAGTTATGAACAGCCTGCAACCTCATTCCTCCACCTAATCCCCGACTCCCTGAGTGCATTCAGATATATTAATGTATATATTTGCTTGTGTATATTTATATGTGTTTAATAGATAAATAAAGTCATGGAGATTAAGCCATTACTTCTTAAACTTTAGAAGCTTTTATTATATTTATACTTATGTTTCTGAGTGGTAGCCATAGGATTGGGAAATAATAATCATTGTTTTTTATTATAATAATTAATAAGTGTATGAGCATTTTATAGTCCGTATGTGTTAGCCCAACCCAACGTCTCTTAAAAGGACGAAAGATCCCTAATGTCAACATCCTGAAGCTTTTATCACCTTTCTTTTCCCCAGAGGTATATGTGCTTTTTCTCAGTGGGTAAAGTTGTGATGATTCTTATTATGTGTAATTAAAGCTAAGCATCCCACATTTTTTCTACGCTTAAGGGACTTGGTTTTTCTATTTTGTTTCATGATAAAGTAACCATGTTTAGAATTTTTCTTGTTCATCACATGTTTTAAAACTACTGTATTCCTGAGAGACTATTGCCTGAAGAAAATGTAACAAATGTTCTAGTGGTTCCATAATAAGAAGCACTACATTTAACATTTCCATAAGCAAACTAAGAAAATCGGTGGTTATCTTCTAAATAAAAATCTCTTTAGATCTATGATACAATCATTAATTTGCTTAAAAATTATATTTGTGAATGAGTTGACCTAAAGTAAGCCAAAAAAAACTGGTAGATTAAACAAATTTTCATTTCTTCATTCAGCTTTTCAAACTGAAGGGAAGTTGTATCTTATTTTGGATTTTCTCAGGGGAGGAGATTTGTTTACACGCTTATCCAAAGAGGTATATAATTAATCTCTATTTTTAATCTATCTATATGCATCCTATTTTAACTAAAGCTATGTTATATTTCAATATTGTGTTCATTGTATTTTCTCTAGTGGTTCAAGATTCTTATATTAAGGACTTAGAGCCAAAGAGTCCTTTTCCTACCTTTTGAAGTTGTTCTGAAAGTAGGACTTTAAATTAATAAATTCTTTGTCTTTTGTCCTGCTTCTTTTAGTTAATAGTTTTTCAGAAGCAATAATATATCAAGATCTCCTTAAACAATTAGTAGTGGAAATTCAGCATGCTTTTTAAAGATCATTTTTCATTACTAAAATGTTACTGTGGTGGGACAACAGTGTCAGAATCTGAATATAGTTGTTACTTAACAAAATGTGAAATTATTTCTCCCACAGTGCACATTTAGCATTTAGAAAGTGACTAGTTAACTGATTCAAGCATTTTTGCAAATTCCTTTCATAAGTAAATTGTGGGTGAAACTACATGTGATTAGCATATTTATAATCTTTGACTATTTAATCTCTAAGATGGAATTTTAAATTAAAACTACAGATACAGAAAGAAAATAAAGACAGAAAAATTATTTTATTTTAGGTGATGTTCACAGAAGAAGATGTCAAATTCTACTTGGCCGAACTTGCACTTGCTTTAGACCATCTACATAGCCTGGGAATAATCTATAGAGACTTAAAACCGGAAAAGTAAGGAATTATGCTACTAAGTTGGATACAATGTAATGTAATTATTTAGGAGGTAATAAAAAATAAAATTACCTCATAGAACTACCACAAGAATTGTGCTAGAGCGCCTGTGCTTCACATTTCTGCTAACACTGTATAGTCTCTTTTTTTTTTTTTTTTAATGTTTTATTTATTTCTAGGAGAGAGAGAGACAGCGTGAGCAGGGGAGGGTCAGAGAGAGAGAGGGAGTGACAGACTGAAACAGGCTCCAGGCTCTGAGCTGGCAGTCAGCACNGACTGAAACAGGCTCCAGGCTCTGAGCTGGCAGTCAGCACAGAGCCCGACGCGGGGCTCGAACCCACAAACCGCAAGATCATGACCTAAGCGAAAGTCGGATGCTTAACCGACTAAGCCACCCAGGCGCCCCTAACACTGTATAGTCTCATACCTTTAAAAAATCTGTCAGTCATAATCTCTGTTATTGTATCTTGTTTCATTTGCGTTTTTTATTTTTAATGAAGTTGAAATAGATGTTCATATGCTTGTTGGCCATTTGTATTTTTTTATGTTTATTTATTTATTTATTGAGAGAGAGCAAGAGACAGCCAGCCAGGTAGAGGCAGAGAGAGAGGGAGAGAGAAATCCTAAGCAGGCTCCATGCTGTCAGCACAGAGCTCAACGCAGGGTTTGAACTCACAAACTGTCAAATCACGACCTGAGCCAAAAGCAAGAGTCAGATGCTTAAAGAACTGAGCCACTCAGGCACCCCTTAAAGATTTAATTCACTTACCATACAAGACATCCATTTAAAATGTATGGTTCAATGGTTTTTAGTATATTCAGAGTTGTACAACCATCATCTTTATCAAGAATTTAGATACTACTTACATTAAAATGTTACATACAGTATTTAAATTAAATATTACAACAGGAAACAGAGGAAATGCTCCTTTGGGATCCTGTTACATGATCATTTAGAAGTTGTTATACTTTCACATTTTACCTTTGTTTTTCATATATTTTGGTTTTGGATTCATTTCATATGGTTCCATTGTTATTCCCCAGATAATTACTGAGTTTTTCACATCATTTTACCCATTTCTAACTATCATGACATAAAATATAATTTCTGGTGAGAATAAATATTCAAGCATATAGTCCTTAGAAGAAAAAAAATTACTTTAAACATAAGATTGAACTTTGTAATAAAAATATGTGTTAGTGTTTTATATCCTTTAAAAAATTTTTTTAACATTTATTTAGAGAGACAGAGCACAAGCAGGGGAGGGGCAGAGAGAGAAGGAGACACAGAATCCGAAGCAGGCTCTAGGCTCTGAGCTATCAGCACAGAGCCTGATGCAGGGCTTGAACCCACGAACTGTGAGATCATGACTTGCGCTGACATCAGGTGCTTAACTGACTGAGCCACCCAGGCACCCCCTGTTTAATATTGTCTAATCGAATGCATTTATTGTATACCTTTGGATTAGCATTGGTTATAAAATTAGGCATAGAGCACTGGCCCTTCTTAAGGGTTGAATAAGAGCAAATGTAGGTAAGAAGTGAGATCTTTCACATACATGTCTAGATGACACTTTTAATTGAAATAACATTTAGTTGTCAAATAGTCCAAGTATATACCATCATATAGAACTTGGAAAAAATTTCACTTTTTAGACTAATTGTTTTATTCACTGTAAGGGATCTTCCAAATTCTCTTTAAACCAGAACTCTATTATAATAAATATAGCTAAAAATGATTATTAGTAGTTGAAAGGGAACTTTCCCTATTAAAAGTAATGTAGTTGGCTTTTTCTTTCAAAGGTAAAGGATGGGCGTGGTTATCTTAAGAGCATGCATTTGCTGTAGAAGGCATAAGTAATGTTCTTTCAGCCATTTTTTCTTTTTTCTCAAAATTACTAAGAATGACTTGAAGTTTGTTTTAAGAACTGTCTTTTATGTATTTATTAGACAGAAGGATGATTTCCACCATACCTAATAATTCCCTTTATATTCCTTAAATGGTTGGTCTGCTTTGTAACAAGCATTAATCAAGATTTTTATTTTTTTCACATTAAATCCCTTAAGAAAGAGACATGAAAAATATGTTCTTCCTGAATTATCCTCAGTGGTGAAGTTTATTATAGTCATAGTTGAACTAATGACATAGGAGGGTTAGTAGTATTTTTGACATAGTAAAATTAGAGCAATATTTGGCTTCCACATTTTTTGAAGTTAGAATTAAAAGTAAGGAAATGCCTCTGTTATGGAATAGCTTTGAATATAAGTGAAACAGTTTATTACTTGGCCTTTCAAGTCAGTATACTAAAGTACCTATCCAGAAATAGAATTATTGGCTTACTTCTTAGTACTTTCCCCTCCGTATAGCTCCTTAATTAATAACATTAGTTTCTACTCAAGTATCTGTTAAAGCCAGAAACATAAGTGTCTTCTCTATATGTACTTCTTTATCACAGTCAATATCTAAGAGATCACCAAAATACCTTTTATTTTCCCTTCTAAATTGTTTTATAAAAATGAAGATCTGATTATCTTTACCCTCCACGCATATAAACCTTTTATGCACTTGATAAGAAGCCCAAACTGTTTGGCATGCCTTATTGGCCTGCTGTAGACTGACCCATGCATTCAACGTACATTTCTTATTTGTCTCTGTTCTACCAGGCACTGAGCTCCAAGATGAATAAGGTAAAACCCTCTAGTAGCTCACAGTTTACTGAGAAATAGAGAAAACACTAGAGAATGTATATAGTGAAGGGATAAGTCAGTGAAGAACAAGGAGTGTAAGGAAGGTGTGTTAAGAGGATTGGATGGGGCCACTTGGGTGGCTCAGTCATTTAAGTGTCTGACTTTGGCTCAGGTCACGATATCAAAGTTTATGGGTTCGAGCCACACATTGGGCTTTGTGCTGCAGAGCTTTCTTGGGATTCTCTCTCTGCCCCTTCCCCCACTTGTACTTTTATTTTCTTTCTCTCAAAATAAATAAACTTTAAAAACTAAAATTTAATTTAAAAAAAAAAGAGGATTGGATGGAAAAGTTAAGAAAGAATGATTGAGTCAGATGCCTAAAAAATGACCAAGAAAATGACAATTTTAATTCAGTTGACTCAAATATGTGGATCCTCTGTCTATTGTACAAGCATTAGGCTACTTCTGCAGAATGGCATTAAAAAGACCAACTAGAAAGAACAACTAGACTGATGGCTCAGCTGGTTAAGTGTATGACTTCCACTCAGGTTGTGATCTCACAATTGGTGAGTTCGAGCCCCCCGTGTCAGGCTCTGTGGTGACAGCTAGCTCAGGGCCTGAAGCCTGTTTCAGATTCTGTGTCTCCCTCTCTGTCTCCTTTGCTCTCTCTCTCTCTCTCTCTCTTTCTCAGAAATAAATAAAGCATTAAAAATTTTTAAAAAGTAATAAACATTAATAAAAGCAACTAGAAATTAGAAATAGTATATAGGTTTTGATTCTTTTTCTATTAGTTTTTAAGTGCCCTTAATACACATATATAAGGCTTTGCCTTTGGAATTTGTTACATATGTGGATCTAAAAAATATTTCTCCTTTTTTTACCTTTGCCTTATTCACAGTCTAAATATCTTCGAATAAATGTGGTCATCTAGTGTTTAACACAGTAATTTCCATTCTAGCTTCCATAAATCTGTATCTGGTGGTTTGAAAAGATTTTCTGACTCTGTTTTCTTTCAGCATACTTCTTGATGAAGAAGGTCACATCAAGTTAACAGGTAAAAATACTGATTTTATTAAAATAGTCTCCTCTTTTAAGTTGATCATGGTACAAATGTTGAATAACACGTCTTGAAAAGTTGGGTTAGAATTTTTTAATAATTAAGGTAATTACTGGTACTCAAAGTTTAAACTTTAAGTGGGGAAATTATTATAGGATATTTATGAATTTAATATTATTTTGGCAGATTTTGGCCTAAGTAAAGAGTCTATTGACCATGAAAAGAAGGCATACTCTTTTTGTGGAACTGTGGAATATATGGCTCCAGAAGTAGTTAATCGTCGAGGTCATACTCAGAGTGCAGACTGGTGGTCTTTTGGTGTGTTAATGGTAAGGTTTGGGGTGTTTTTGAGCTAAGTAATAAATATAGTAGAACTATAAATCATTTATTTTATTATATAGCAATTTTATAAGATTTGGTTGTAATTACAATGATGGTTTTTTACTTTCTGGCCTTGAGATTTTATACTTACTAATATCTCTAATGATATTGCCTTTTTGTAGTTTGAAATGCTCACTGGTACACTGCCTTTCCAAGGAAAAGATCGAAAAGAAACAATGACTATGATTCTTAAGTAAGTACTCCTTCGTGGATATGTTTTGATGAGATTTAAAAATAAACACTTCAAACTAAAAAATGAAATTTTAGAGGGTTGGCTATACTGTAAGAAAATAACTAGGAGGGGCGCCTGGGTGGCTTAGTCAGTTAAGCGTCCGACTTTCGCTTAGGTCATGATCTCGCGGTTCGTGGGTTCGAGCCCCGCGTCGGGCTCTGTGCTGACTGCCAGCTCAGAGCCTGGAGCCTATTTCAGAGTCTGTCACTCCCTCTCTCTCTG